TAAACAGTTAGTACTAATTCAAAAAGTACATATAAATTATAATATGTATAATTTATGATACATAGACCATTAATTCACGATTCAAGTATACTAGAATACACCGTTTTACAATAAACAAGGGTTTGATTCAAAACAAATCAAGGGTATACAACTTTCCAATACATGTTAAGAATACTAGTTTAGAAATATACAATCAATCATTATTTCAGGATGATTGGGTTTTCATAACTATTATACACGTAACGTCTATATGCTTTTTATGAGTCATTTGGTTCAAGTTGTTTAGTTTATTTAAACAACATAGTTAAAGTCCTGACATTATAACCAGAATCTCCAGGAGGTGATCGAAACAATGTGTGTATAGATCTATATTTAGATTGACAACCCCGCAATCGGGCTGCTAGCTACAGTCAGGCATACACGCCTATGAGTGACAGTTGTTATCAATAGTTTTAATGCCTTCAAAGCATTGTTTCAGGCCATCTAGTCTCAGTATGGTTATAATAACTCATTAAAAGATATTAACAAAACGGTTAGTGTATAATTAACTAAACATGAGCACCTTTTTTAAAGTACCAGTTTACCAAAGATACATTTTACAGTATTACATATCGGTTTTCAATAACAGCTAGTGAAGCCAGGCACACTCTCTGTTACAATATATACAAAAAGGATACAAAAGTAGAACATTACATTACAAATAGAATGATTTTATATGATTAAAACTACATTTCATATACAGCTAGAAAATATAGGATTTTCTGGAACAGTTTACATATTCAAGAAACAGAGAACATACTTTCAAACATAAATACTTATGTACTCACTCAAATTTATGTTGATACTCTCTTTTTCAAATTACTTGTATTCTCAAGGAACCAGTAGACGAAGTACTCCCTGAGCTTTTGAGAAGATTGAGCGATTTTGAGTCATGTCTTCTTCTTTTGTATAACTATTTTGGTGTCAATATACATTGATTAAACACATGTAAATATTTATATTTTTTTTAAATACAATGGATGTTTGCACTTTGATTACTATGATGTATGTGTTGTGATACTACAAATGAAGTCCTCCACACCCAGACGTTTCCGCCATCTGGTTTGGGGGTGTGATAGTTGTGATCATTGTTTCTTATTCTCTGATCATCATAATCTTATCATCTTCAATGAATTGGTATTGACTAATGTCTTTTTTTTACATATAATCAAGAAAGATGTCGAACATGAAATCAAAAGGAGCATCCAGTGTTAAGTCAAAAGGATTCATTGCACCTTAGGTTTTGAACCGCAACAGAACTTCATCTGCAAGATTCTTAATCAAACAATTAGTTGACAAAGATATCGACTTCTTAAAATCATTGAACACATCTAATCCACCTACATCTACTACCAAAACCTCTAAACCAAAATCACTGACACTATCTTCAATGGGTACATCGATCATTACCACATCCCCAACATCTCCATCTACAAAAAAAATTCAACACATACATCAACGACACCATCCTCATCACCTACATCTACAACCAAAACTTGAGCACCTACATCATCGACACCATCCTCAACACCTTCATCGACACCGGTACGATCAACACCAATAGTAACTACCACATCTTCCTTACCTAAACCAACTACCACATCCTCAATAACAGATACATCTATCCCATCACATACCCTAGAATCTACCCTGTCAGCAACACCAACAACCGTAACTATATCCACAACAAATGCTAACGGATGTGTTGTGGAAACTATAAGCGGTTAAAACAATTCCTATGCTTATGGTCTAGATAGACGTTTAAATATTGATGTTTGGAAAAAATTGTTGGTTACTTGTCATACCTTACACAAGTTTTTACATATATAACCTTCTGGTCTACCAATGCATATGAATTCAAAACTAAAACTTTCATATTATTTGCAGGCTCCTGCCACCACGCCCTTGTGCTACATATATTAATAAATCCTTTGTTCAAATAGTAGATGCATAAGGGTACACTTCGGAAAAAGTAAGCAAAGAAATGCGGGAATTATATTGGCGTGAGTTAAAGTTAGTTAATTTTATGTTTTAAATTATTGTTTGATAAACATTTACATTTAAAACTTATGTGTAGAAAAATTTATTGTTGGAATGAAGCAAAACACACACATGTAGGGAAACATTGGAAAAGTAAAGTGGCACAATGTTATGGTCAATATCTCTTCAACATGTGGAACATATAAAGAAGCCCAACTAGAAGGAAACCAACTCATCACACTAGAAGTCTAGAACTCACGGAAAGCTAAATGGACTACAGATGAATACAAACAAAAATCTAATCAGAGCAAGATCAATAGACGTAATGGGGTGGCTGATGGAATACCACAACCTATCCATAACACTGGATCTGCTTCTCATTTGAAGGTTTCTTCTGATTTGGTAAGTTTTTTTAATGGTTCATCAAAAATTGTATGTTTATTTTTGTGTGTATATATATTTTATATTTTATGGTATTTATGCAGAAAGAAATTAGGACGTGATCCAACACATAGTGAGTTGTTCTTGTATACACATACAATGAATCACGATGGAGTCACATTTACAAATGAAAAGGATAGAAAAATTCATGTGACATTCATTTCAACGCATAGATTTATATTGTAGACTTCATATTATTCATAACTTTGATATCTTTTTAAATTATTATTGTTTTATAGGCCGCCTTTACAAAAAAAAATGAAGAGTTGGAAGCTATATCAACAGAAGTTGAGGATGCCCTAAGATTTTATGATGTTGCCGCAGGGGCGGATGCATGATTTTTTAATAGGGGTTGCACGGGAGAGTTAGGGGTTGCACGGTAGTAGAAAAAATAAAAATTTCTAAATTTTTCTAAAATTTTTCCATTGCGGCCGGAAAAGTTAGGAATTGCTGGTGCCACCGTGAACCACCCCTAGGTCCGCCCCTGGATGTTGGTGGTGGTCATGACATGAAAAGAAGACTGTATGGGTTTGGCTCATATACAAAGGCGATTCCCATTCTTAACAGTACAATGGAAGTATCTAATTACATTACAGAAAAAAAAAATATTGGACCGGAAGAATTGAGGGAGCTTGTTAATCAGGAAAAAGAGCAAAATGAAGAACTTAAGGAAATAATGAATGTCAAAGATGATCAACACAACATAAGAATCGAGCAGCTTAATAAACAACTACCATCGGTATTAACTGTTATTTATGGTTTTCAACAACTACATAATTCCTAAAGTGTTAATTTGTTTATTGTATAGTATTTATTTTAGATTAGCCACTTTTCATTTTCGATATAATAAATATTTATTGTTTTATATAATGATATAAATTTTTTGTTATTTTTTTTTATATATATATTAGTACAAATTAATATGGATCTAATTTGTAAATTAACTATCCATCCAAAAAATATTTCTATGTAATTTGCTAGTGATTCATCACCACGGATTTTACTAGTGATTAATCACAACAGATTTAACTAGGGATTAATCGCCATAGATTTAGTTAGGGATTAATCACGACATATTTTGCTACAGATTAATCACCAGAATTTTCTAGGGATTGATCACAATGGATTTAACTAGGAGTTAATCACAACATATTTTGCTAGGGATTAATCACCATGTAATTTGCTAGATATTCATCACCACAGATTTTGCTAGGGATTCATCACCAATGAATTTGCTACGAATCCACTAGATCGAAATTTGTGATTAAAGAACTACTACGAAATTCACAATGAAATACTACTACAAAATACACGAATGAATACCATTTACGACGGATTTTATTTCATTATCACATTTGCAAATGAATTATTGTTTCCCTCGCAAACCCTTGGTACTGGGTTTTTTTGAGACGGGAATTGATCGTTGCAAATTATATCGCTATTCGTCTTTTGCAACGAAATTTCAGCTTTTTGCAACGGATTTCTTCCCTAGCAAAATCGATTTTTTCTTATAGGGTATCCAACTAAGGGCCGCAATTAATTATCAGCAATGTCACACGGATCGCTGCAGGAAACGTTAGTGAGACACCTTTAGTGGCGACGCAAGCTTTAAAGACGGCACCAGGGTTGTGTGGTTTGATGTTATCGCTAAAGCTAGCATGCTAAAGGTGACAACTCTAATTGGTTACATTTCTTGTTGTGATCCCTATCCCTGATCAACCTCTGGATTCTCCAATCATAACGGCTATCAAGACCTTTCCTGCTTGGGTATATGAGTTTTTTTCGTCCCTAGCAGGAATTATGTAGTTATATGAAACATTGAAAGCTAAGCTAGTCGGTTTATTTCTCATAATCTCCTCTAGTTTCAGATTAAAAGAAAAAACTTTAGAACATGAAAATTGCTTTCTAGCTAGCCTTGTGAAAATTTTGAAATACATTACATTCTACAAATCATCATAGTATTTCATGTCCTAATCTCATATGTGAACTGAAAAGTGAACTCAACGATTTACCTTTAACACGATTTATTAATTCTAACTCCCAAAAAAGTGTATTTGGAAAGTAGGTCGACAGTACACATGCAGATTGGCTTCCTTTTGGTGTAGTTCCCTACTTGTACGACATATGGCCCTGCCTCATCACTCTACCATCCTTATCATATTTGTTCATTTCGTCCCCATCACTTGGTGTTGCAAGTTTCCATTTTTCATCTAAGAATTAATATAATAACGAGAATGGCAGAAGGTCCTATTGAGCCATCCAAATATCATACAGCCCTATATCCATGTACAAAGGTACTGCCGATCATAATGATCACTTCATCTTATTAAAATACCTAAAATGCATGTCGCGAATCCTAAACCACACAAAGTGCCTTTTTAGGATCACGATCACTTTCTCACCCCACCCCATCCTATTAAAAGCACTCTACTGATAATCACTTTTCATCACTTTCACTCCGTCTTTCTTAAACCTTTCCATGTTCGCCATTCACACATCCATCTAAAACTCGATCTTCATATTCTGATACAATAAACACCATGATTGCATCGGAGAAAAGACACAATACTAATCTCCTGGATGCCTCGTTTTCCTCCTACGCCACCCAAGAACGCTTCATTATTAAACTCAGTCACCCTCAGATCAACACAAAAAAGAAGGTACAAGACGATGAACTTGGGATTTTTGGAGCCGAGAAGTACTTCACAGGAGCAATAGATGAAGAACTTAACAAGACTGCTCATTATCGAGGTTCAAACAGGCCACAAGAGAAACATGAAGAACCGTGCCCTAAACCTAAACTGACAACTCCCCCGTCTGGGACTCCGAGCGTTCGTTCTGAATCGAGTTGGAACAGCCGGAGAGGGTTACTGGCTAGTAATGGCAACGAACATAAAAAGAAAACCGGGGTCAAGAGCTTGTTTGCTAGTCTTGGTTGCAATTGCAATGACAATGCTTCCGTCAAGGTCACCAACAACAAAGTTCGCGTTAATGAAGCCGTGAAACCGCCCGTCAAAACTGGTGATTTGGGTCACAAAACAAAGTCGCTGTCGAACAGATGGGCTGACGATGATGTTCCCATGAAGAAGTTTGAGTTCGATGAGTTGAATCTCAAAAGAGATGACTGCTTCACCTTCCCGGTGTTGAATTCTTCAATGGCAGATGGGAAACATTCGGAGCCACCAGAACTTGAGCTACACTATTCATCGGAGGTATTCGGTTCTCCAGGGAAGAAGTCTTTTAGCCTGGAGAGGAAACTAACAATGTTGAACTGGGACGGAGTGACTCCACGAGCGGACATTATAGACATTTCAAGGAACGGTGGACACAATGACACAGGAAGCGATGCGAGCTCAGACTTATTCGAAATCGAGAGCTTCTCCACTAACGAGAACAACTCGTTTCTTTCTCGCCAAGCATTAGAGAATTCTGAAGGAAGGCCAAGCAATGTCAACGGGTATGCACCGAGCGAGGCAAGTGTTGATTGGAGTGTCGTTACGGCCTGTGCTGCTGATTTCTCAACTGCTGACGATTTCGCAGTCGCTCGAACTGTTAAAGCAAAAGGAGATACGGAGAGAGTCAAAGGTTCCGGTATTCTTTCAGGGTGTCATAGTCACAAGGCAGTGCGAGTTTCCGGTGATGAATATTGTATGACAGGTGGCGGCGATAAGGTGGCAGGCATAGCGGCCCCCTCCAGGAGGGAATGGTGCCGCCGCTTGGATTCTGTCACACCAATAGCTAAAATCCACGCAGACACCAAGCTAGTAGGTGTGGGGTCTGATTCAAACAGAGGCCAAAATGGATTTGGCACTACACGTTCTGTTCCCAGGATGCATGCTTCAAAATACTTGTATAGTATTCCACAGCAGTAGGGGCGATATTTGGTGTCATAAGTCATTTTGAGCAATATTTGTTACGCAGATATTTAATTTTCATCAGTAAATTCCATTGAAGCAATATCCATTTGTAACTAGGATCTTTATCAATACAGTTCTGCTATTTCTAAGGAAGAAAACACAAGGTTGTTATCGGGTATTTGTGTGAAAGAAAAGCCGAGTATGAGTAGCTAGACGCGTGCAACAAGTGCATGCATGTGGATGTACCAATTGGAAGCAATCTTACACATGAAAACGATAATTAAAAAAAAAAAAAAAAGGAATTTCTTCTTCAAATGCAGCTAAGATGTCGATATCATACCAGCAGAGTAGGAAACGAGGGAGCTTTCAAATATACCGATAGAGAGATCCACATATTGCCACGTGATAGAAAGCTAAGTTGGAATGCTACCCTCTTATTCAAAGCTACTTTAAAATGTTGATGTCATGTTCAAAAGTGAAGATAGATTTTCTAAAGCATGCAATGTGTCTACGGCCCACACAGAGGTTGATGAAAGATTCAAGAGACATGAAGAAGGTGGTTGAAGGATCTATTGGGGTAGTTGTGTAGAAATTTCCTTGTAAAAGATTTTTTTAGATAGTATCCATTCACTTACTTGCCACATCGTATTACGAAGACTCTACTTGAATTGGGCCATACCATCATTTGTAATTATCAATTAATTTTTGTATTACGAAGACTCTAGTTTTTGCCATTTATTTTCATACAAAACTCAAGTTTAAATATCACATACCATATTATTTGTAAATCATCCATCTAATGGGGGAGTTGTGTAACACGTGTTTTTAAGCTTAGAAATCGTCCTTTATAAATAAAATAAAATAAACAATCGGAAATAAGTTAAATGGATATTTTAGTGAAATAAAAAGTTTTAAGATATATTAGAATCGTTTAAGTTAGGCTAACTTTTCTAATGAGATTGAGGGAATAAAAGTGTCAATTTTGTGAAACTTTTTTTTTTGACATTGTCTAGACTTAGATCGGGAGTGAGTGCATCTACAATCCATTGAACTCTATAGAATTATTTGAACTCTATAGAGTTATAGAGTTCAATGGATTGATATCATCGTTAAACTTATATAAAACAACACCCACAATGTATTAAACACATATTCAATCATACGTATTATTTTATTCATTTTATTAAATCATTTAATTATCAGTCAACTGTATTTCATGTCATCACTCATAGTCCATTCAACTGATATTCAATCCTAGTTATTTCCTTATTCACCTCTTATAGTACTTGCATTGTGGATTCTCTCAAAAAGTTACTTAGTTAGGGAAATTTTTGTAATTTTAGAAACAAGCTTGTCAATGAAGTTTGTTATGGTCACATGAGATTAAAAGAAAGTGGAGTGGTTTATGTTTGCATTGACCAAATAGATTAGACCACATCACTTTCTCCTTCCCTTCATTTAAACCAACAGAGCATGAGAGCTAGAAAAGAGAGTATTTGGTGGTTTTGGTCATAGAAGAAGGCCTAAAAGGAGATTGAAAGAGTAGGTGAATACTAGAAGCTACAACCATTTCCTTGAGGCATTAGATGGTATATTTTTTTTTATTCTTCTTAACATAGGATCAACCTAGGAGCAATTATGATTTCTCCAAATAGTTTGTTTAGTATAACTTGATTAATGTTCTAGCTTTCATATAAACAATTGTTCATGAATTTAAAGCCAAATCCCTCATTTATTTCTTGATTTGGAGCTTTAATTTCATTTTCAGTTATCAAAACCCTAACAATGGTGAATTAGAATTTCAACTCCCATATGCATGTTTAATCTATGATTTAACTATCTTATGTTTCTACAGTCATTTAGGAACAAATAAATCTACCATGTGTTGATTATATTTACATATAATTGGCAAATGAATTAGTTTTTCAAGTTAGCTCATAACTTTAATGGTGTTTTTGAGTTATGATTATGACATGATCTAGTTTTGAAAAAATAATTAAACTTTAACTATGGTTATTAATATTACTTAGAAAGTCCATTAGATTCAATTTTGATGATAATCCAATGTTGATTTGGGAATTACACTTATTTTAATATTTAAATGGTTCATATTGATCATAAGCAACTTTTTATGTTAAAATTCATAGGATCATCAAATTTGGATCTTATATCTTTTTGTAATTATATTTTCAAAGTCTTAGGAACACATATGAAGAAGTAAATGCATATATAGGTTCATTGGTAGCAATGGAAGGGGTTTGGATGAATTTGGAAATCATTTCAACGAAATTCTTTTGACATGTGCAAGTTTGGAGTTTCACTCAATCCAATCAGGGACTAAGTAAGGTCCGACTTTTCCGAGTACTTTTTGTTGGACATAAAAGTTTCACTCTTTTCCAATTAAATTCAAATTGTTTTTTGTAGCTTCATCATTAATTCATTTATGTTATTAATTTAAATAAGGTGATTAGGGTTGGTTCAAGTGTTGTTTTATAGAATTAGTCATTGATTAATGATATAATTGTTAACCATAGGTGACTACTACGTGTATATAAAACCCTATAAGTAAAATGAAGTACTTAAGACTACTAAGGTGAAGTTTTACCTAAAATACATACCCTTATTCTTTTTTTGATGTGTGATGAGTTCTTCATTTTAATATGAAAATTTTCCATCTATGCTAATCAAAGTATACTATATATATGATTATGTGTTCTTTAAGGTAATTTTGATATGCATTTATGCTAGTCAAAGAATTGCCCACAGTGCTCGGGTCGTATCGCACGAACTCCAAATCCAGTACCAGGGAAACGCCCTTTAGCTTAACATACGACATTGAGGCGGTACTCCCACCTGAAATATTGGTCGGATGGCTACAGGTAGGGGTGCAAACGAGCCAAGCTACTCGCGAGCTACTCGGGATCGGATCGTTAAAAACTCGACTCGAAATCGGTTTTAAACGAGCCCAAGCCGAGCTCGAGCTTAAAATTAAGCTCGTTTATTAAATGAGTTCGAGCTCGAGCCTATGTCATTAAGCTTGATTAGGCTCGCGAGCCTAAACGAGCCTTTACATAATATAATTTATTATTATTTATATATATTAAAATAAAAATATATTAGAGGAATTACGGATTTAGGGTATTAGTAAACGAGTTTCTTAACGAGCTCGAACCGAGCTTAAGCTTATTTAGGCACGTCAGATAAAAAACGAGTCGAGCCCGAGCCCGAGCCGAGCTTGGATAATTCGTTACGAGCTCGAGCCGATCTCAGTACAAGAAAGCTCGAATCGAGCCGAGCTCGAGCTCGAGCCTCATATAACTTAAACGAGCCCGAGCAGAGCCTGGCCAGGCTCGGGCTCGGCTCGGCTCGTTTGCACCCCTAGCTACAGGTGACGGACTTTGACACAGACACCAATGAAGGTAGACAACGTCAATACTTAGACATCCTTGACAAGAAGCGCGAAGTAGCCCAGCTCAGCAAAGTTGCTTACAAAACTAGCACCAAAAATTACTGCAATCAGCGTGTACGAGTAAAGAACTACAACGTAGGAGAATGGGTATTGAGGAAGAATGAATTCAGTCATGCTCAACCCCAAGGAAAGCTAAGTGTCACATGGGAAGGCCCATACAAGATAATAGCGACGTACTGGAGTGCATCTTACATCTTGGAGGCACAAGACATGAGGCTTATCCCCCGGACTTCAAACATGCACAATTTGTGCCACTTTTACTTTTAGAGAAAAGAGAAAAGACAGAATAAGATACATCAAGGGCGGTGGCAAAGTGATCTAACTCCAAGTGGATAATCACACCCCAACAGTTAGTTCTAGTTCTAGGACCATTTTGTGAAAACATCTAGTCATTTTTGTCCTCACTAAATAGTGTTGATATTTCCAAAACATTATCAAAAGAATGATGGAGGTTGACTATTTTCGAAAACCATTCAGATGTTTATTTTTATTCAAGATTGATATCATTTCAATAAGAGGTTGTGCACATTTAACAAGTGATAACAAGGACTAATCATCGACGTCACTTAAGTGAAATCGATGCAAGGATGCAACCATAGGCTTTAAAGGCTTATAACCTTTCCCTAAACGTGCCAATCCAAATCAAAGGACTATTACCTTTTCCCATGACATGAACAAAGGCTTTAAAGGATCATAACCTTTCCCTTGATATAAAAAATACCTAATTCCTAAGAGTCTCGAGATGACGATGTCAGCCTGACTTAGATGACTAAGGCCAGAGTGCAACTTTCATTGGCCCAAGACTTTAAACAAAGTCTTAAAGAGTAACTAGATAACTTTACCTAAAAGTGAATACCATAATTAAATTGAACTAGCCAAGGTCCATAAAAGAAGGCTATCCAAGGCCTTAGCCTAAAATCATAGCCCAATGACTCAAATAAAGGACGAACCCTAAGATTGCGAGCGTGAACTCTCTGGCCAAAAACCAAAAACATTGGTTAAGTATAAATCATAAAATCACAATTCATACAAACCTAGTAAAACAAATAAGTGGGTTAACCAAATAATTTTCACCTATCAAAGGGAGGAACTCTTCGAGTCTTAACACCCTACAAAGCAAGTAGGAATCATTCCCAGTCAATTCCTAAGGCCAACACAAACCTTTGGAAAGAAATCCCTCCAATGGGAAAAACATGAACAATTGCACCTCATAAGCCAACATTAACCTTAGAAAAGGAACCAAACATGGCCACCATAAACCGTCTGGGACCAAAGCAAGCAAACTTTATGAAAAATATAATCATACCATTAGACAACGAATTAAAACAAATTGTCTGCCGAACGCACCCCATACTTAAAAAAAGAACACGCAGGGCCACAAACCAAGGAAAATATTGTTCAAACATTGTTTCTAAAACATGATCATGAAAATGACAAACTAAAGGGACACAGAAATAGGAGAGATCAATTACCACGTGGATTGGAAGAGGGTCTAGCACTTGAAGAGCCACATTCTGGTGGGTTACCCTCGGCGTCGGAATCACGA